CAACACCCCAAAAACAAATGATCCAGTTTAAAAATGGACAGAAGACATGAACATTTTTCCAAAGAAGACATCCAGATGGCCAAGAGACACATAAAAATCTCAACATCACTCACCATCAGGGAAATGCAAATCAAAACCACGATGAGATACCACCTCACACCTGTTGGAATGGCTAAAATCAATACAAGAAACAACAAGTTTTGGCAAGGATGTAGAGAAAAAGGAGCCCTCTTGCACTGTTGGTGGGAATGCAAACTGGTGTAGCCACTATGGGAGACAGTATGGAGGTTCCTTGAAAAGTTAAAAACAGAACTACCCTACAATATAGCAATCACACTACTAGGTACCTACCCAAGGAATACAAAAATAGTAATCCAAAGGGATACCTGCACCTGATGTTTATAGCATCATTATTTATAGTAGCCAAGATATGGAAACAGCCCAAGCGTCCATCGATTAATGAATGCAAAAAGAAGATGTGGTATATATACATAATAGAATATTACTCAGCCATAAAGAAGAATGATATCTTGCCATTTGCAACAACATGGATGGAGCTAGAGAGTATTATGCTAAGAAAATAAGTCAGAGAAAGACAAATACCTTATGATTTCACTCATGTGGAATTTAAGAAACAAAAGAAATGAACAGAAGTGGAGGGGGAAGAGAGGCAAACCAAGAAACAGACTCTTACCAGTAGAGAACAAACTAATAAGTTATCAGAGGGGAGGTGGGTAAGGGGGTGGGTTAAATAGATGATGGCGATTAAGGAGTGCACTCGTGATGAGCACCGGGTGTTGTTTGGAAATGTTGAATCACTGTATTGTATGCTTGAAACTAATATTACCCTGTGTGTTAACTAACTGGAATTTAAATAAAAACTTAAAAAAAAGCGGTGGCAGAGCTGGGATCAGAACCCGGTCAATGACTTAAGAGCCTACATCCTTTGCTCTTGTGCCTCCCATGATAGATAGCAGTGCTTGCAGAATGCTTCTTTGCCGGGAAAGATTCAGATGTGTTGGTCCTTAGCCTGATGGAAATAGGTAGCACCCTTGCAAGTTTTGAATTGTAAGTTTCCCTGCCCTGGAATGCAGTTAAGAAAACTTAAAACATCACCATATATTTCCTTAAGGTCCTAAAATATATGTATTGTGCCACAGTTACAGTCTTGGCCTTGTCATTGACTGTAAGTTTGGACAAGTTTTTTAAGCCTGGCCTTTGGGTATTTCCAATGTAAAAAGAAAGGATTAGATTAGACAATTCTCTGTATGACCTACAAGCTCAATAAATTATCTGATTCTGTACAAAAATTAAAGGTTGATACCGACTTTTTGTCCAGTCATCTAAAACCTGTTGTTCCAAATGAAAAAATAATTTAAGAAAGTATGGGTAGTAAGTGTTCCTGTCTTCTACTCATCTCCTTGTTATTTTAAGTACTCAAAAAATTTATACCAGGCTACTGGTTCACACCATCCTGAAGTGTATATGTTGTGTGCTCAATTTTAAAGGCTGGGACTATTCCCAGAAGGTCTGTGCTGGTCACAAACAAAGCAGAACACTCAAGGGCTCAGCACTAAAAATATCACATAAAAATGCTTCCTTCATGCACTCATTGGAACAGGTAATTACTGTGGCAACAATAAACTAATTTGAAGTGTTAGCTGTTAATTAAGACAATGCAGAAGTGTATAGTTGTCTTTTGGTGTAACCAGAGCCTCCATTCAAACTTCATTAATCACTTTATAGTTAATTGTGTTGGGGAAGGTCAAGACAATTGAGATGCAGTATCCATTGAAAGTAAACAAATTCCTTTTCTCCAGGTAGGATGCCATTTGCAAAGTTAAGGGACACATTCGACTCATGCCTGGCCTTGCCTTTGTCATCCACTTCTCCTTGATAATTAAATGTTAAACCAGCACTGTCATTGTACTGTAAACCAAACCTCACAGCATCTTTATTGCTCGAAATCGAACCCAAACTTCCACGGATGAATTAGCGTGCATCATAATTAAATCATCAAGCCTCTCCCTTTTGATTCACTTGGAAATAGGAGACCTTTCTTTTGGAAAAGCTTTCTTGACAAGCTTATTAAGTTGCCAAACTGTCCAGTATGGTATACACATTAGACCATCTTCTAGTCATCTCCTTATCACCGCTGTTGATTTCAAACGTCCAGGTGTTTTGTTGTCCAAAATAACAACCACTGTTCTTTTTGCAAATTTTGAATCCTTTTGTATGCATTCAACTGTTTTATCTTCATATTTCAGTCCTTGGTTAGGAATTCTAATATACAGAATTTTTAAAAGTTGAAATTGGAAGAATTTATGGTGTACAGGCGAAAAATAATATATCATTAAATCTTACATATTATATTAACTATATTTACATAGAATAAGGTTATTAATTTCCTTCAAATTACATTTCAGATTATCTTAGTCTAACAACTCTGTCAGGCAGTGAGAAAAATAGTGTTAGTCATTATATACCAGTATATTATATGAGTTCAGATATATCATGAATCATATCATGACCTGAAATGTAGTTTCACATTGTAAAAGTGTGATATTAACATACATAGTAAATTAAATGGTAATTTGTTCTAAAACTGGTATAATATAGGGGTTCCACTTATAAAATGTATACCACTTTATATAAAGTGTAAAAATTTTTTAAATAATTGACGTTTTATAACTGTAATAGTATTTATATATACTAGGGAGGTTGATATTACAGAAAGTCTTTAGACATCTTACAGATTAAAAAAACTTCAGTAGGGCGCCTGGGTGGCTCAGTCGTTAAGCATCTGCCTTCGGCTCAGGTCATGATCCC